AAAAAACAGTTGTACTAAAGGTTCTAAAGCAACTGTGTAGAATAGAGTTGTTGAGAAGCAGTTCATTGTTCTTTTTTATATAGGAGGCTGTGGGTTTGACCCTTGACATTGTGAATAACTGTGAGGTCATTACACAGAATGCTGAAAGGAGCCAAACATAGGTCTCCCTGCAGTTCATTTTAGTTCTGGTTTCCCCAAGTACAGGAATAATTCCAGAGTTGCTCTCCCTCAGCTCCTCCTCCGTGCCTTTGTGGTTAGTGCTGTAGCTGGTCGAGGAATAGGAGACCCGAATGTGGAGCTAGCTGCCTCTGCCATTCTTGCTTTCCATCTTGGGCACATCATTACTATCTGCAGCCCCCATCTCCTTTGAAAAATAGAAATGAACCGTCTCTGCATCAGCTTTCCATTACTGAAACAGAGGCCTTATTCAAGTGATTTTCTTCTGTGCATTGTGAGTGTAGGCAGACACCTGTCATGCCACACATGCAGAGGACAACTTTGTGGAGTCACTTCTCTCCTTCCCCGTTCCATGGGTTCTGGGCATCGAGCCCAGGTTGTCATGGGGTTTGCATGGCAAACCCTTCCCCACTGAGCAGCTTACTGGCCCCAAGACTTCCCAGCTGATGGGAGAGTTAAGAGCTTGCCTTGAAATCCACACCAACTAGTGACAACCCACTCTTGTCTTTCCTGTGGCGTCTGTTCTGCAGATTCTCCTATGATGGCAGGTGGAAGCAGAAGCTGCAAACATCCGTGGACTTCCCACTAGAAAATCTTGACTTGTCACAGTATGTTATTGGTCCAAAGAACAGTTTGAAGAAATATAACTTGTTTTCTGTTTCAGTAAGTATCTTGTTGAACTGAAGACATTTTTAAAACAAACTAACAAAACAGGAGGCTCCAGTACTTTCTTACCTCATAGGAGAGTGACAACAGCCAAGACTTGGAACAGACTGACTTGTGCTAAGTAGTGATTCAGTTTCTGTTTTGTCTTGCTATACAGAACCACTACGGCGGGCTGGATGGAGGCCACTACACTGCCTACTGTAAAAACGCAGCCAGGCAGCGCTGGTTTAAGTTTGATGATCATGAAGTTTCCGACATCTCTGTGTCTTCTGTGAAGTCCTCAGCGGCCTATATCCTCTTTTATACTTCACTGGGACCACGCATAACTGATGTAGCCACATAAGAGGTGTAGGTTAGGAGCGCGTTGATGTTTTCAAACCACAGAGATAACGGATCACTGCAACTGGCTATGTAGAGGAATTCCAGAATACTGGGGGCTGTGTTACTGGCACCATATAATCAGGTCAGTGCTGTTTATCAAACAACAAAAACAAACTGACATTTAACAAGTATCATAGTAAGCATCCCTTACAGGTATCATTTATTTCAAAACAACTTTTTTAGTCTGCCCCAAAGTTAAAAATAATTCATTAGCCAGACATTTATTATTCTGTTGGTATCAAACCATTGTAACCCTCATTTTCCTATTCACTGCTATAGCCTTTTCTCATTTCTAGTCCCAGCTTGATCCACTCTGAATATTCTAGAATGACCTAACGCAGATAGGAATGTATATGTACATATTTATTGCACTCTTGCACATCAGATCGCTGTATATAGTTGAACATGTCCTCCTGTGAAAAGCCGAGAAAGGAGTGTTTGTTGGTTTCTTTTGGCCTTTTCTAGGTAGCTGCAGGGCTTCCCTGGGGAAATGACAAGGCAAAACTATTTTTCTGTTGGCTTCGCGCTGTATTTGTGCACTAAATCTTTATTCTAAAAAAGAAAAAAATGGAAACTTTAATTTTTTAAAAAGAATTCATTTACATCTACATTAAAATCTTAATGAAAAAGAATCATTTGAAATCTTGTAAGTGTTCTGTCTCTCCTCCTCTCCCCTCCCGCCTAGTTTTGAGGCAGGGTCTTGCTGTGTAGAACTCACCAACCAGCCTAAGTGCTTTTACACAGACTTCAGTCACCACCCTGATGTCTGCTTTAGTTATTCTGTAGAGGGAGGACTCAGTTCCACTCTCCCCACAAGTGGCACTCAGGTTTAAGAGCTGGAAGTCAGTTCAAATACTCCCCAGACTCCTGTCCCAATTCTGAAGAGTTGAGGTAAAGAGTGTGGGGTCGGTGTGCTTGTAAAGTGAGCTACTGCAGTGAGAAGCAGGCCGTCCTTCGGAGCAGCGGATGAGGAGGAGTCCTGACCTTCCTCAGGACAGCGGTGGACACTACACCACGTTTGGGTGTTTGTTTTGTTGAGGATTTCATACAGGACTGTGTTTACATCATTTCCACCTCACCTTAATTCCTCTTGTGTTCCCCAACTCTTTCAAATTCATTACTTCTTATGTTTCTCACACACACACATACCTTGCTCAGTCCAGAAATGTTGCTTATATGTTTTTAGAGCTAACGGCTTGAAATTGTATAAAATGTCAGGGTTCTCATCCTGGAGAACATTGATTTTTTTTTTTTTTTAAATGGTTTTTTAAGACAGGGTTTCTCCATGTAGTCTTGGCACTTGTCCTGGATCTCACTCTGTAGCCCAGGCTGGCCTCGAACTCAGAGATCAGCCTGGCTCTGCCTCCCGAGTGCTGGGATTAAAGGCGTGCGCCACCACCGCCTGGCAATTTTTCCATTCTTCAGTAGCTTTAATTGCCTGTAGCTCTTCATCTGGGGACGGGACCTTGTAAGATTATCCCCGTCTATGCTGGCACGTCAGCTGGTAGTGTCTCTGTGCAAGTCTCCTTGTGAGATTTTATGGGTTGTATACAAAGGTGCTGCCTCATAGCAGATGTCCTGCCCCTCGCGCCAGATGTTCCCTGAGCCGCAGATGTAGAGGTTGTGTGGTAGGTGTGTCTTCTGGGGCCAAGCACCACTTGGTCA